AATTTAGGTGTGCATGTGTGGGGATATGCTATTTACCTACATATAACTGTCTTTGGAATGACACTCTGCTGCGCAGAATAGAAACTAATGTGAATAGGATACCGGGTCACATTTTGGTTTTCTTATCAAGAGAGTGGTGAATTTGCAGAAAATTTAAATCTTGGGTCTAGCCTTTTCTGTGATATATCTGGAGCTCGAGGTTGCATGTATTTTATTTCAGAGCTGAACTGCTACAGCTGTACGAGCGCTGTATTCTGTTAGATATTGAATTCTCTGATAATCAGAATGTGGATCAAATCCTATGGAAGAATGCTTTCTACCAGGTAATTGAGAAGTTCAGGCAGCTTCTTAAAGATCCAAATATTGAGAATCCAGAACAGATTCGGAACAGACTCTTGGAGCTCTTGGATGAGGTAAATCATCATTTTGTTTTTAGGATAAAAGCTTTAGCATTGTCTTTTCTTTCTTTTTTTTTTTTTTTGGTTGGTTGTGGGGCTTGAACTCTGGGCTTGGGTGCTGTCCTTGTGCTCTTCAGCTCAAGGTGAGCGCTCTAACCGCTTGAGCCACAGTGCCACTCATGGTTTTCTAGTTTATTGGAGATAAGAGTCTCACAGACTTTCCTTCTTGGGCTGGCTTTGAACTGCAATCCTCAGATCTCAGCCTCCTGAGTAGCTATGATTACAGCGCCCGGCTTTAGCATTGTCTTATAATGGATTTTTACTACCTGAGATACAGAACATTGACAGAAAACTTTATACTTTTTCTTAGTTTAGGCCTGATATACCACTATACTTCCTTAGGATGATAACTTACTGACAATTGGAAGTTAGTTTTTTTTTGTCTTTTCTTTTTTTGATATTGGGATCGAACCCAGGACGTTGCACTTGCTAGGCAAGTGCTTTGCCACTGAGCTACATCCCAGCCCTGGAAGTTAGTTTTGAGCTTAGAAACTTTCTGAATGCCTTGGCTTTTGGGGGTGGGGGTTGAGGAGGAAGGGGAATATGTATGTGTATGTGTATGTGTGTTTGAAACTTTGAAACCATGGAGAGGTTTACACTATGAATTTGTCTAGTGCTCATTTGGCGGCCTAATACTGTATGTGCTCCCCTTTACATAGGATGTCTGAGCACTTTTGAGAGGGTCATTTGACTCAGTAAATTGCATAAAAATAGGTCAATAACAGATATTTTTTTCTCTTTATAGGGTAGTGATTTCTTTGATAGTTTGCTTCAGAAGCTGCAGGTTACTTACAAGTTCAAACTGGAGGATTACATGGATGGTCTTGCCATTCGTAGCAAGCCATTACGCAAGACAGTAAGTCAGTTTTTTTATCTCAAATTTATTCATTCATTTAGTAAGCATTGATCTAGGGCTAGGCACTGTACTGGATGTTGAGGATGTCAGAGAAAAAGATACAATATTGTAAGGTACAGAGATGAAACCAGCAATAGTAATGTCATAATAGTATATATAGAATGGTGAAGTGGCATTAAGATAGAACTGGCCCTAACTGGCCTTAAACAAAGAGACTGTCAATTTAGGTCATTTTTTTTTCCTTTGTGGTTTGAGGATTGAACTCAGGTAAGTGCTTT